ATATGTATATTTAGATATTAAGTATTAAGTATTATAAATTATAATAATTAACAGCTTAATATATTCAGTTATAGATTTAAAAAATACGTATAAAGTATTATAAATCATAACAATTAACAACTTAAAATATTTTTTAAATATATGAAAAAAATTGATTGACTCTTGTAATTCTATCGGAGTAACAAATTTCATTTAAAAATTACGAAAAAATACTATAAATCATAATAATTAAAAATTATATTGGCAATCTTTCCGTTCCATTATCAAGAATGTTCACAAGAAGTAAGCCAGTGATATCATAAATAGATGTTACTTGTTAGTCAACAACTTATGAAAGAAAACAATGCTATGAGAACCAGAAATCATCTAGCATAAAAAATTAGCTTGATTCTAAATGGATGACATTACAAAAGAAATTTGATTTAAAATGAACAATAATAAGCCAGAACTTCTCTATTCAACATTTTATTGTTGATGAGAAATTGATACTTCAAGAAAAAAAGTTAGAACAAGCCAGTAATGTGAACGTATTATCGCGTCACAGCAGCTATTGTGCAACATAAACAGTAACAACTTGCTGTAATTTGAGAAATTTGATATCTGCACCAGCAAGAGTAGTGAAGTGATTACATGGTATAGATACATCTATCAGTTTTGCTCTTCAGCAGCGTAGAGCTTTTTGATCTCCTCAACGTCATCATAACTACCAAGAAATATAGGAGAGCGTTCGTGTATCTTCTCTGGAACTAAGTCAAGTGCCTGCATAATAACATTACTGCGAGTGTCACGTTCTAATAATAGAACAAAACGCTACCTTCTTGTATTATTATACTGTGACTAACAGACAGAATTCTCAGAAATTGTACCCGTTGCTTCCCAGTAAATGCTTGGCCTCCTGCTTGTTCCATCAGAAATGACATGGGAAATACTTCATAGAGAACCCTGTTTCATATATTTCATTAGCAAAGGTTTCTGTGAGTTATTGCAAAGGAAATTCTTCAGTGACTCCAAAAATGTGCATAACGTACCTCAGTTTCCCGTTGGGGCTTTTCTTATCTCCGGGGTACAAGAAGATGCCTCCATAGAGTAATGTACGATGAACATCAGCAACCATACTGCAAATTAGAGTCCAGATTCAACTAAGTTGATTAACAATATGTCCATGAAAACAAAAGCTATTCCATACAAAGTTAACAATTCCAAAGACATAGGGAAATCACAAGAAAAGAACAAACAAACTAAAATTGAAGCAACATCAGTCCCAATCCGCTTTACAAGAATCCACTGAACTCTTTGCATGAACGGTCAAATAGAAGGATTCGTTTAATAAGAAATCCAACAAAAAATCTCCATTTAACCCCGTCTGCAGATGTAATGTGAACCTTTTAACATTTGAATATTTCAACCATAGTTGGCTTATAAGAGTTCTAAGATCGTCAAGTAATGATTCCTAAAATTGTAGCTATCAGTTGGAAATAACCAGAGATAAATACATATTAAGTTAAAAAGTATAGATAATGGAAGCCTGACTTTATCTCTTTGAAGAAGGACGAACAGGGAGCTTGATATTTTGTATTGTCCCATGCCCAAAAACGTAATAAACGTAGATCCAAACTCAACAGAGCTCATCTTCAACCATTTTTTACATATATAGAGAGTTTCAACTTTACAGCACATCTCAAATTTTTTCATGATGCTGACATTACTGCCTAGTATGTCAAGCAACAGAAATTCCGTCATGATTAGATGGTTCAGATTGCAGGTTGGTGAATTGGATCATACAAGACATGGTAACAACACAAACCGTGCAATCTAAGCATCTATGAAGTTTTTAATTACCTTCCAATATATCTCAAAGATTTTGGTGAAGAACCATCAGCGGGATACTTGCAGCTCTGCACATATCTGAAATTAAAAGAATAATAGGATATCATGAACATGGGAAACAAACTTATTAGCTATTGCTTTCCAATAAGCGTACTTGGATGTTGGACCGTCCCAGTTCTTGGCATTTCCTTCATTCACTGAATAAATCTTCCCTTTCTTAGGAATCTGCACGTAAAAGCAAAACGAAAACCATGTTAACCAGAAATCATAAAAGGAAATAGGGCACTAGATATGCTAAGCCAATCTTATGTTAGGCAGTATGTGTTACTAATTAACAGAACCGAAAGTTGATTATGTGTGGTCCAAACACCATTCGAGTCTACAACCCGAGAGAAGCTAGTAGACCATATAAAACACACTTAAGATTAATAAAAGATTATCTTGATAGCATTTTCTAAAAATTGATTAGAACATTTTCCATCAAGATTATCAACTTTAAGTTCTACGACAATCTTGAGTAATGAAGTAATGATCAAGATTATTAGTCAACAACAAGTTCTATGTTCTAAGGCGATACAAGGAGCTAAGGAACGGCGTTACCTTGATGTCAGGATGAGTTAGGATGAACTCGCCAAGGGAGGGATCAAGGGTAAAACCATTAACTCCAGATCCAGTGCTCAAAACTAGCTGCAAACAACGGAGATCGGAAAATCTTATTACTTGTATTTCCAATTCATCATTGTCTTTAAAGAATTAAAATACTTCAGAGTATATTAAACTTAAATGTGAGCTACATACCGTACAAGAACTTCCATACATGCAGTAACCAGCAGCTAACATGTTCATCCCAGGTTGCAAGACATCATCTAGTGTTGGTTCATGGCCGTCTTTGATCATGTAAATTCCAAAGATCTATATAATGAGACATATTATTCATTGTGACATGAAAAAGGATATAGTGGTGGATAGCCAAGTAACAGCAACATAAATATTTAGAATCATACCGTTCCAATAGAAACACCACAATCAATGTTCGATGATCCATCCAGAGGATCAAAAACTACACAGTATCTGTCATTAAAATTGCATCAATGGATTAGTAATTAGTTCTTAAAACATAATGATAAATGTCAAACTAGAGAGATCGAACAATGGCACTCACTTTCCACGGTTAGCTGGCTCCACAAATGTGGCTTCTTCATCTTCTTCAGAGACAAGAATGCACTACATAATTTGACATCTTTTAGATTAAAATCACCATTTATTTTCACAATGTGTACTGATAAAATGAGTGTCTCGAGTCTTACTGTTCGGCCACTGCTAACCAAAGCCTTGATAAACACTTCATTTGAGAGTACATCAAGTTTCTTTTGATCTTCTCCCTACAATTAGAAATCAAAACCAGAGTAATTCCAAAGTTGAAACGGATTGGAAGCTTTAATATTATAAGAGTAGCATCTTCATGAACTTGCCTGCACATTAGTCTCACCAGCAAGTCCTAGAAGTTTGGCTAAACCTGCCTGGAAAGATGTATCGACTTTGTAAATATATCAATACAGGAGTAAACGGAAAAACACAACAAGGTATAATACATGTTACACAAAAACAGATTCATTCTACAGAAGTTTCCTCTGCCTTGTACATTTTTGTAATAATGAAAAATTAGTTAGAAACAACTACTGTGCTCTATCCATCAGTACCTGCAGTTAACTTATTTTCTTGCACTACAACTTCATTAATCTGCATCGCTGAAAATAATACAGCAGATAGAAGTGAGGAGGAAAAATTGATATTCCTCCACTAAATTTTGGATGCTATAAGGCAAATAAATCTGATGCATATTTCTAAAAAAAAACTTGAATAAGCTATGCTATAGAACATGATTTTTTCACGCCTCAAATCACTATTTTTACATAGGTTTTCCCCACAGCGAATTAGTGGGAAATATGGAACCACAAGCACTTAGCTGTGATCATTGAATAAGCTATGCTATAGAACATGATTTTTCCACTCATTTTTTACTGAACTAGCTTACTGAGAAGAAATGATCTAGTATAAATTTGAATCTAAGATATATTATTCATAACGTGGTTGGGTTACTAGTAGACGCCACCTTTGTACAATCAATTGGATAGAGAAACATGCAAAATTAAAGCGCCAACCTCTTCAATAACCACACATAGATTAAATGAAAACAAACAATCAAAACAGAGAAGTTGATATCCAAAAAAAAAAAAAAAGGAAAAACCTTGTTAACAGCAGTGCATACGAACTTGCAGCCAAGAACAATGTGACTGAGCAAAATACTGAAGTCTCCACGGGATTCAGGGTGCTTCGTCTGCTCATTCAACACAAACCTTGTTATTGTCATCAAATCCGTCCGGTGTGCATCCGCCGCGTGATCCATCGTGCTTCGATTTTTATGGAAGAGATTGGGCACGCAGTACTACTAAAATGCTCACATATATACAGAAAAAAAAAGAAAAGAGGAATCTGATCTGACGTCAGAGGACGCCACGTGGAAAGAGGAGAGTGATGCATGGGATCAGTGGTTGGCACTAAGATAAAGCGTGATCCAATTCGTCATTCTGTTAACTGATTTGTTTTTCGTCTCTGCTTAATTTGTTTCTCTCTCTCACTGCCTGCCTAGCTCTTCATTATCCACGTCACATTTCAGTGAGTTATCCTTATAACTTACAGGATTGTTGAAAAAATAAATATCTACATAGATATTACTAGTATTCAATTTTGTTTCTTTTTATAAAATATATTGATATCTGAGTGGGTGTATATCAAATTCATCCAAACTCGTAACAATGGACGGCGAAAGCACATCAAGATAAATATCCTTTGATCGATGATATGTTTGGATGATTGTTACGTATTTTTTGATATACAGTGTAGGTACTAACCGGGCTATCTAATCTGATGGCAAAGGAAGTGTAGGATGACACGTGGAAAGAGGAGAATGATACATAGGATTAGTGGTTGGCACTAAGATAATGTGATTCTCGTCCTTATGCTAACTTCTGTTCTTTTCGAAACTCATTATTTGTTCTCTTTATTACATGTTTTGTTTCTATATCCCACTGGCTTGGCATGGGTCTTCTTTACCCACGTCACATATTTCGTGGACTTCATAACTTTTGAAAATATAATGAATTGGATAGGAGTAATAAATAAATTGTTTCCGATAGACCATCTAGGATAGAAAATGATTTTACAACATAATCTTTGGTTTCCTCCATTTTAATTAAGCTGAGGAACATGTTGATCTAAGAAAGCCTGAGCCAAATTACTGAAGCTTGTACTAACTCCACCTGCAGCTGCATAACTTTTGATTGCATCAATTACTTCTGGCTTTAAGATCTCTTCCTTGTTTGATGCATTGCATAGATAATACAATGCTCCTAGAGCATAATTCACCTGCCCAGTTTGAAGTTCATTTGTGTCAATACATTGAGCCAGTGGCAGAGCAATGTTTTTCACCGGGGTGGGGGTGGTTCAGAAACGAATATGTAAAAACACATAATGAAGCCCAACGGAATTCAACATCTACTAATATAAATTAGATTTTAGCTCCCTAGATCCCGCCCCCCCTGTGTGATCTATATGCATATGCAAACAGATATCATTTTTTATTGTTCGGATAAATATGAGGAGAGCGACATTCATATTCTGTAATTGCTTACCTTGAGAAGTAAAATTGACCACCAAAGTGTAAGCCAGTTTGAGACTGACGAACACAATTAGTAAATTTTGAAAGTCTTCGTGTGCAAAACAGCTAATTCCAGAATGAGGAAGCAACATTTTATTCTGGATACAGCCTAAAGTAACAGAAGTTCGTATGATGCCAAACATTTAAAACAAAATGAAAAAAAGACCAAGTTCTATAGAGGTGACATGTCTGATGCCTGAAATATTCTTATCAAAGTTATCGACAAGATTGACGGATCAATGGTACTCAACAGTTGAGTTTCTCACTACGTATATGTGCAATTTTAACAAGTGAACAGCAAGCACTCAATAACCAAGAAGACCACAAAATGTTTGTTTATGTCCTTACCGTGTTCCTAACAGGACTTGACAAACACTGGATGACGAGAGGGATACCATCATTTTGAGTGACAAGAGCAGCATTAGCTGGATCTGCAAGCACAAACGCTTATTGAGTTAACTTTTTGGAGAAGATCACAGGAAGTTTACTGTGATTCGAAGCAGAACCAACAAAAACAAGTTCCAAATCATGGAATCAACATAAATTCCAAAAGCTTTGATCTTTACCAGCACAAGCATTGCAGATTCCTCCAATCCCAAATTCCACAAGCTTCTCACTAGGCTCAGTTAAACAGTCGAGAAAAAGTTCAATAACATTAAGCTGTTTAATATTACAAGACATGTTGAGGCAACCAGGAGAGAAATATGATTGAATAACAAATTTAAACTACTCATCAGAAGATTCTTGACCTGGCGCAAAAAGGTAAAGTTGAAAGGATCATATGCAAAGTTTGCCAAATTAGCAACAATCTTCTCTTTTGTCTCTGTAATAACAAGAATGTATCAAACCATATAGATGCCAAAAAAAGAAGTGAATAAAGCAGGTTGTAGTTAATCAATTGGCTACCATATATGCTATAATCTTGACAAGCGTGAAATTAACTTTCCATTTAACAGCAACAAAAATATCAGACTAACAGACTCTATTAGTTAGCATTACTGATTGCTCTGTTGGTCCAATCATTGATCGCGAAACTTTCTACAAAAAATTGGGTAGGCCGCTAGTATAGTTTCTGAGGTAGTAAAATTTTATGTTTCAGAAGGATCTTTCTTGGTATTAAAGTCTTAAATCTGTGACGAAGTAGCCCATTCTTCATCTATGCAAAGAGAATTACTGCTTCTTCAACCGAGATGTTGGCGCAAGAAAGCAAACTCTCATTGTATATCAATATTCTTCTCTGGCTGCTATTGACATGAAAACATTGTCTCACTGAGCAGTGTTTTCTCATGGAGGTAAGGCAGTGGATAATGGTAGGACAGACATCTTAGTAATTACACAGTTATTCCTATAAATTTTTAGGGGATAAATGTAAGTCATATTGCCATAGTGAACAGATATCTGTTGGTCAGAGTAACAGTTGCTTTGTTACTAGACATCTTACTTGAAAACTCAAAACCCACAATAAATCACAGTAACTTACAAATATGAACACAGCTTCGCAGTGACTCGACAGTATTAATGCTACCTTGTTCTTATGTTAATATAAACATTATTGTAAGCTAGAAAACACCTATGGACTCCCTGATGAAAATATTGCACTTGACTAAACAAGAAGGTCCATATGATATTCTGATAGTACATTTCGTCTCATTTCAGCAATTCAAGTTCGGTAGATACAGCGCAAATCAGTTGAGTAAATCTCTAAGCATACCTTCGGCAGAAGCATTCTGAAACTGAGTTACCAATTCCTGAAACAAGAATCAAAGAACTGATTGGGCAAACAAGCAAACAAGATCTATGCTAATAAAGGAATTGTTATGCACAACTTTTACTTAGTATCAACATAAAGTTTTGCAATTCCAGTGTTCTTCCTCTCATAGCATCAGGCAATCAATATAGTGAGTTGCAGGATTAACCTGAAGGTACTTCACCCTTGGAGTCCCATATTTTCCGGTGCGCTCTTCTTGCCTTTGGCTATTTGTAAACATGTAAACTGCAATAAGGGAAGAGGAACATATTAAAATTAAACATTTTTAACATTTAACAACCATACACAGACTAAGATTACAGAAGCCATATAACTATGCATCATGCAAATAGGATTTGGTACTACATATAAAGTCTAATTTACTGTTAGTTAGAGCAATGAAAACGAGCTAAGAGAAACTCCTGTAGGAAAAAGCAATTGTTAATCCATGTATTTATAAGATCATTCTTCTTTTCTTCTCAACCCTTGCCACAACCGAAATCCCTCTCACTGTTGCACCCTCAGCTCCTCTTAACCAGTCCCAAATGAATCTTCCTTTCTCATAGCCTCGAATCCTCCACTTTCTGTTCCTGTTTGCATATAAATTCAGATACAGAAACTATGATAAACTGGAGATTTCTCCGAGAACAAACTCTCACTCAACTATGGCTCAATCCCATACTAGTTATAGGTTGAGTATGAAATCTTCTATATCCATTCCTCTCTAGTCAGGTCTATTTCATTCAATTACTAAATAATTTTTCCCAAACCATAAATTAGGGATTCTCTCTATCCCAAATTTCCCCCGTACAAGTTAGCTAGTTTAACTACAAATTCACAAGTATTTATCTCTTGCTTCTGCAGTATTCAATTCTAACTGGTTACTACAAGTTAATGAAACTTTTCCCCTCAAGCGAAAGAGCCAATAACTTAAAGCCAAAAAGGAAGGAAAACTTTGATACTTTCAGCAAATTCAAGATCACCCCAATGTCTAATAATTAGATTCCTTTGATAGACACAATGGATTGAAATGAAAGGAAATAGAAACATAGTGTTTTTAACAAACTAAAGGTGCTAAGAGGATTTTAATCAACTAAATTAAACGTTTGAGGTTAAATTGAAAATTACAATACGAAGCAAAGTAAAGATACACTCCTATTCAACAAACAAGTGAAATCGAATTTCCAGTACCACAAAAGAAAGTGTGTTTAAACTTGAACAAAGAGCTGGGAGTGAGAACATGAATGATGAATAAAATCAAGGCTCATTTTTGCCTTCACTATGCTTTTCAACAATAGTTAACTACAACATAGTTTAGCACCTAAATTTTGAACAATTTTTTAAACAACTCGAACATTCTCACTAACAAACAAGAAAGAAGTACATAGTTCTAAGTTTAAAGGAATGAAAAATCAATGCAGGATGCCCATAATTCAATGTCCACGAAACATCTTACTCGGTAGTCACCGGTGGCGGAGTTACAGTTTCTCTTATGGACTCCGCAAAACCCAATAGCTTCGTCCTAGACTCAGTATTTGTGTTAAATGCCACATATTAAATGGCATATATTTCCATACTAGATAGGTAATAGCCTGTGTTGAGCACGGACCCAACGTTGATGACTTGGTTTTCTATCTGTTCTAAAGAGTTATTTTTATCGGTAAATACGGCATTTTATTAATCATAAAGAGGCACTTAGTGTTATTGGATACAAAGAGGATCCGAGTAGAAGTAGGAGGATCTAGAAAACTTATATTATATACATCTTTCGTGTTGGTTCAGACATCCATCAATCACAAACATTTGTATTCAAATTCTAGGACTAAATTTTTCAGCATTTTTTTTTAAATGAGTAACTTTGTATTATATCAATGATCAAAACAGTACTTGGGTACAACTGAAACCATATTTACAATAGATCTCTAGTAACTTCCCTCTCTAGCTATAAAGAATCTAGAACATCTATGATAGACACAATATCATTAGAGTAAATCTGATTACACCAAAAGCATAGCAGTAAGATGAAGTTCAACTTGATCTTCTGCACATCATTCTCTAAGCTCTCAAAACATGTGGAACTCCTCTCCTTCCAAGTTGTCCACCAAATGCAAGCTGAGACAATTCTCCCTCTACTCCTATCCTTAGCATGTGAACATGTTCCCTCCCCGCTGCTAAGAGCCTCTGTTATCTTGCCTGGCATCCCTTAAGGTTTAGGATGATTTTCCACAAATGAGTTGTGTATGGACAAAAACATTAGGTTTATTTCGTTCCAAATTACCAAAAAAATGCAGGCTGAAATTGTCTTCCATACATCTATGAGTTGTTCTTCAATTTCCAATGCAGGCTGAAATTGTCTTCCATACATCTATGAGGTGTTCTTCAATTTCTTGTCCATTGAATTTATGATAAACTTCTTTTAAAACTTCATGCATCACCAATAAAAATCTTAGTACATGGACTATAGCTAACACATGCCAGTCACCATGCATGTGTGAATTAAACTTAAAATGTACAACCAGCTTAGTTTTCCACCTACTTTTTAGTGTTAGGCCATTTCTAGCAAAGTGTAAAGGACATATGTTGCCGATTTGGGATTCTAATGGAAGATACAGTTGAGGTTATACACCAACTACACAGGTGATTCCTAAGTGAATGATGACTTCAGCTTCCTTTAAGACACATGTCGAAGCATTGCTTAAGTTTAGTAACTGCAATATACTCCAATAAACACTTTGTTCTTCCTCAAAATTGTCTCTAATTAATATATGGATAAGCCAATCATATATTGTAAGAAGAAATCATAAGAATATACCCGGACAAAGATCTCAGGCCAACATCTCCACACAACTATGACACTATCAACGGGAAAGAATCGATCCAAGTGACCTTACTTACAGTTAAATGGTGAAGAACATGCAAAATAAATCAAAATTAGAAAAGATAACCTAGAACAAACTCATACCAGCGATTTTAGGGCTCTGAATACAGTTAAGAACGACAATTAGGACTCTGAACACAGTGATTTTAGGGCTCTGAACAAATTCACACCAGCTATGAGTGTTGAGCGAAGGGATTTTTGTTCAAATACACACGTTGATCCAAGGTTTCAGCGATGAACAAGGTATTTTTTAGCGAACTTTTCAGCTCTATCGAGTAGTATTATTTTTGGGGAATGAGAAAACTACTCACATAATGGTAGTATATGTTTTTGGCGGGTTTAGCGAAATTAGGGGGAAATAAGGAAAGAAGATAGCTTCATTTAGAGCAAATATGTATTCCATCCATTTAAAAAAGAATTGCCTAATTTAACTTAGAACGGAGTTTAAGAAAAAATAAATAAATTAATCTTGTGGTTTTAGATTGAAGTTATGTCAAATGTACCAAAATATCCTGTAATCTTGTGGCCTTAAACATACCACGTGAAAAGTTGAAGTTAAAATATTGTCAAAAAAGGAAAAGAGTCATTCTTTTTTAAACAGAGAAAATACTATTTTTCGTTAATAAATGGTGTAGATATATATATGTTTCTCATGGAAAAGGGTCTAATATATTTTTTAACTTTGTCATTTAAAGTTATATACCTATCGTTATGAAAGTGACTTATATATATCTTTATCGTTATATAAATGGTTTCCATATACCCCATTCACATATACTCTTCATCTAAAGAGAGTGAAAAAAATTAATTTTAAATTTATATTTTTGATTTTTAATTTTTTTTAAAATCATGTAGGAATATATATGATCATTCTAGTCCTTGTCATGTGGGCAAGTCTTGATTTTGAACCGTCCATATATATAAGATTTTCTCACGTGTAATTGAAATGGAATAATAAGATGATGGAGGTCAAGTGAAACTTGTCAAGGCTTCAATCTGCAACTATTGTTATTACATCGATTTGAAGAAGTATAAAAGCGAAAAGAACACGAAATCTTATCTAATATGTCGGTCTTTAATCTTTCTTCAAATTTTCACTTGAGTCTTGATCTTCAAATACCACCTTGTTTTGCCGGTGAGTTCTTGATCTCAAATTCATGTTTTTGAGGAACGAGTAATTATTTTCTACCCCATTTTGGATTTGAAAATTCGTTATGAGTTATTAATGCAATTGTGAACAAATTATGTTATAAAAAAAATGACGAATATGTTGAAAAAGTTATTGAATTGAAATTAAAAATAATAATTAAATTATTATAAATATTACGCCTTGACAAATTACTGTCTTGAAATCGATTTCGACCAAATTTTGGATGCAAATCGTTAAAGATTGATTCCAAATAGGTGCACTAATGATTGAAAGTTTCAAGTATAACTTTTTTTTTTTAAAAAAAAAGCAAATAAAAAGAATGATATTTCTCTGTGTATATATTTTCTTATATTGCATGAATCTTTATATTATGTCATTTGTGACAATTCTCTTTACATGTTATTTGCCTAATTCCCGTTATAACAATGATGACTTTTGTATATATTTCTTTATAAAAATAAACAATATTTTCAAATATATTTCCTCATTTACTAATTAAGTATCTCTTTGATCATGAATATTTTTTTGAGCAACTTTCACATATAGCAAACATAAAAATCATATTTGTATGTTATAGCTATAGTTTGTATAATTGTGCTTCATAACAAATTTTATGTTTGCTATGGAGCTTTTGATTTGTATAATTCGCTACAAACATCTAGTTTTATGCAAATTGTTCTAGTTTTGTATAAATTCATTTATACATTGTAATTTGTATAATAAGATCTGTATTTGTATAATTATAAGTGTATAGGACGAAAATATATGTATTTGTATATACACTTTTCTCTCGCTTTATACAAACACAAACACATTTTATATCGAAATGTCTAAAATGACTAATTGTATACCGAAAATGGCTAATTGTATACCGAATCAGATGACAAAAAAATGGGATGTTTGCTATGAACTAGAAGCAGCCACCCTTGAAAGAGTGCGTAATAGCTCATAGTTTGCTATTTATACATTTTCCCCTATTTTTACTTGTTTTTAAAGTAAAAATATTATTATGAAAAATAAATATTTTTAAAAACCGTTTTGACATAAAATTGTTATAACTTTTTGAAATTTAATTTTTTTTCAAAATGTTATTTATAATTGTCACTCTCTAAATTGTACACAAAAAATTCAAAATAACTATAATTTGTACTTTTATTTTTAAAAATATACTATTTTCAACTTTTTCTTTCAAAATTCATAATTTTTATGTCTAGACATCCATCAAATTCATTGTTAGATATGATTATACATGTTGTTGAGATTTTATACTTGTATAATGTAAGCTAATATGAGAAAAATCACAAGTAAAACAACAAGATTCACGAAAGCTGGGCCAGATATCACGATTAAAAAAAAAAGCCTAGAGTGTGTTGATGATGCAGTTCTACTTATATGACAAACTCTTCATCAGACGTCGTCGTATAACCTTCCTTCTACCTGTCCTACTAGGAGACCAAATCTGTAGCCTCGTGTTAATGTAAATTATTATCTAGTATAATTAAATAAAATCCAGCTTTTATTAGCTTTCGATTCTCTCATTATATATGAATCAAATTGATTTAATCCACTCTTTGTACATATATTCATGTATTTATGTATGAACATTCCATACTGATCTTTTGGAATTCTCTGTATTGTACATCTGTAACTGAAAAAATCTCATTGGAGTTGAAAACCCTAAGTTAGAATTTCAAGAAAACCTTAGCTTTTGCTCAAAGATTCGATTTTTATTGTTGTTTTGTGGAATTCTTGAAATTCCTGGATCTGGGTCTGTGAAAGAATCTTCTGGGGTTCTTTTAATATACAAATGGCGGATCAAGAAGATGAAGAGTTGAAAATGGCGTTAAGGATGAGTATGCAGAAGGAGTCGCCAGAGCCTAAGAGGAGTAAACCGGGAGAGGAGGTATCTGGTGGCGGTGGTGGGGAGGAAGGGGAGTCGCCTGAGGTGAAAAACCGGAGACGTCAGAGGGAATTGATGGCTGCTGCTGCTGAAAAGCGAATGTTGGTGTTGCCCAAGAATGTGGTGGTGGAGAAGAGTGGTGGGTCTGGCAGTAGAGTGGTGGAATGTAAGGGTAAGAGTGTGAATTTGGTGACGGGTGAAGATAAAAATGTGAACTTGGTGAAGGGTGAGGAGAAAAATGTGAACTTGGTGAAGGGTAAGGAGAAAAATGTGAACTTGGGGGAAGAGCTGTCATTGGCAGAGGCTAATGAGTTGTTTTCAATGATCTTTGGTTGTGAAGTTACCAGAGATATCCTTGGTCAGTGGACTAATCAGGGCATAAGGTATGGTAATATTGATGCTTTCCCCCTTTAAAATTATGTTAGCGGAGTTAGGATGATGCGGTAGTGATAATTGAAATAATGAATTCAGCTTAGTTTTGATTTTTCTTTTTCTCCTTTTATGGTGTGATATAATCTCTTGAGGTGATTTGTTCTTTTGAAAATTGCGTTTGGTCTCTTGCTATTGGCAATTGGATTTTTACTTGTTCTTCTTGAGGACTTGTTTTTTTCCGTATATTTAGTGTTGTTTGAATATCCTTGGTTTCGTGTAGATAGTCTTACAAATAGCTGTTATGGGCTATGCAATGTTTTTATTTTCTTTTCAAAATCTTAAGCCTGTTAGGTGCTCAAGCACTTGTATAAAACATAAACAAAATAAGCATATCGTTGAAAATAAGAAAGAACACAAAAATTCGGAATTAATAGTAATGAGTAGTTCTAGTAAGATTTGTAATATGGATAATGTTACATTTGACAGAGATGTAACGTACACCAAGGAATTATCCGCTTTGGTCCCTTTCCAGTTTAACGATTTTGTCACTTTGGGATCTAACATAATAGAGGCCTCAACATTTGAATATGACAACTAATTTTCCCCTTCCACTCTGATATTGGTATATGCTCAAGTTTAATAGCGAGCTTCCTCTCGAGTTCATCACCAATGATGCGTGGGTTGTTACACTTAGCCGCTTAGGGACTCTGCGTCCTTGCTGAGATTTACTTGGGAAGGAACTGACTCTAATGCCACTTTGGTTTGGCTTCCTCTAAGCCACCTCAAGCCTTTTGAGTTTAACAATTTTGTCACCTTGGGATCTATCGCAAAAGAGGCCTCAACATTTGAATCTTGAATTCACCCTTACATGACCACTAATTTTTCCGTCCTACTAAGATGTTGGCATTTGCTTAAGGCAAGTTTAATAACGAACTCCCTCTCAAGTTCCTCACAATGGTGCATGGGTTGTTACACTTGTTCCTTTAGGGACTCAACGTAGTCGTTGGGATTTTTCCCATCCAACCAAGGAAGGTATTGTCTCTATGCCACCTGGAACGACCTAGGCTCAACTATCAAGGTATTGCCTACTTTGGCCTGATCCCTTTGAACCACATCAAGAATTTTGGGTTTTACGGTTTTGTCTCCTTGGGCTTTAACCCAAAAGATTATGCAATGTTTGAATTTTGAACTCACCCTTATATGGTCCCCAACTCTTTTGAGGTACTAGCTTTGATACCACTATGTGACATCTATCTCGAAGGGTGGACATTTGGGGGTGCACATGACAAAAGTACAATTTCATATGATTTGCGCGCTTTTGGCTTGATGATAGCGTAGCTAAGTGACAAATTTGTGGGGTCTATTGGGCCAAAGTGGACAATACGTGCTATGAGCTTAGACTGACAAATATGGTGTTAGGGTTAGACTGTTGCAGTACAATGGTGGGTTAAACCTCAACAATATGTTGGGGCTATAAGGTTGGTGTATTCACGCTCATGACGAAGCGCGGGTTGATGAGGGTGAGTCGAACAAATGGATTGACCAACTTCAACCTTAGCTCACATAAAAAAGGGAGAGAAAAGTGAAGTGCTATAACAAGATAAAACACAAATTCACATAACACACGTGCTTTTGTGCTCGATGATAGCCAAAGGGACAAATTTGTGAGGTCTGTTTGGGTTTGAGTTGTGACATATAAGGCACCAATTTAGGAATCCATTTCCTAGTACTAGATATGTACTTTTCATTATAAAAGTAAAAATAAATTTGTTCTAGTTTTGAAAACCACAAGATTTGCTCATTTTGTCTTTTTAAATTTTTACTTCCCAATTAAATTAAGATACACAACTTGCTTGTTTTGTTTAAAAGACCTCTGTGAAGTGGTCAACCGTCAACCACATCAAACAAAACTATAGCCAAAGGCTCAAGCCTCAAGGTTGGCTTGGGTTTCAGTTTTAGGCAAGAACTGTAATGGACCATGCACACCCCTTTTGATATTGGGTATTCAATGTTGTTGGAAGGGGAGCCTTGGCGTAACCAGTAAAGTTGCTGCCATGTGACCAAGAGATCACATATTCGAGTCGTGAAAACCGTCTTTTGGCAGAAATGCACGGTAAGGCTATGTACAATAGATCCTTGTGGTTCAGCCCTTCCCAAATTCCATGCATAGCGGGAGCTTAGTGCATCGGGATGCCCTTTTAATGTTGTTAGGAGATGGACCGATTCGTCCTCCAAATAGTGCCATTAGTGATGCTTATCCAAATCCCTTGCCCCTCAAAGCAGTGCCCTTTTGGTGTCCATGGCCACCATAGAAACTAATTAAGTGATGCTAAACTTCACTTCTCTTAGAACATGTTTGGCCAAGCTTCTTGGAGGCGGAAACACTTTTTTTTTTTTTTAGATTTGAGGTTTTGGCCTACAAAAAAAGTGATTGTAAGGAGTGGCAGAAATAATTTTTGCTATTGGGAAAGAAACCTATGTTGTTCAGACTCTCCAAAAATGTTGCCGTACTCGTGTTGAATTTTCCAAAAATACACTACTTTTGAAGTATCCGACACGCACTTGTCGATATTTTTGAAGAGTCTGAGCAACATAGGAAGAAACTATAAATTTTTGCTTTTCACCATAAGCAGAACCAAAAAATTATTTTTTTCGAGACAAATATTCTTACCATAAATTTATATTTACCAAACTATTTCTCTTAATTTATTGTATATATCTTTTAATTAAGTACAATTTTTTTTCTTTTGGTCTCCACAGTGTCTTTCATTTCATTTCAAAGGCTTTCTTAATAAATATTTAAAATAATTTCTGTGTAAACAATTCTAACAGTGTAAAATGCCATGATACTTGTCCTTTTTTAAAATTTGACACTCAAAAGCACTTTTTGAAAAGATTGGCCATACATAATCTACTTACCAATTACATTATCAAAAATTAAAATTAAAATCTATTCGTTTCAAAAAATAAATAAATTAAAATCTACTTGTCATTTACCGGAAAAAGCACTTCTCAAACAAAGTGACCGAACACAAACTGTTCTTTTCCAAAAGTTTTTCTCTGAAAAGCTGTTTTGGTGAAAGTGCTTCTCAAAAAGTAGGCAGTTTTTGGAGCTTGGTCAACAGGCTCTTAGAAGTGTTGATGTTGCGCTACCTAATACAGAGTCTGTCGTAGTATGTCCTTGTGTAGTGTGTATGTAGAGGATGCTGTCATTGCATCTTTCCAAATCTTGTACATATGCTGGGGAAATTCTTGTACTGCTTGGTAATTATATAATTTTGTTACTTGTATTGTTGGTTTCCTTGATCCATTCTCTGCTTATTTAGGTTGGACATTAATACATAGATTCATCTGAGCTGACTTGCTGATGCTTGAACAAAATACTTTGCAGGTTTAGTCCGGATCTAGATACATCTATGGGTTTAGTGCAGCATGAGGGTGGGCCCTGTGGGGTGCTAGCAGCAATACAGGTAAGACTTTGGTCCCCTCTTGTTTTTTTGGGAATAAATTTTAGTTTCATAGATGAAGATGAATTGGTTGTCATTCTCTGGCTTATTAGAGAACTTATTTTGCACGGGAAAGATAGTTTTGAACTTGGTTTGATTTTATGTTAATCTCACTGCTACTTCTAGTGGTCAAGAATGAATGTTGTCCCCGCTGGATAGTAGATTAAGTATTTGGTAGAAGTTAGAAATTGATATGATTTTACAGCCACATGTACGGACACAAATGCCAGTGTTAATTAGGAAAAGTTGCAGTGCAAGAGTGCATTAATTGACTTGAGCCTTGGGGTTTGCTCCCTTTCAAGGTCTCAAGTTCGAAACCCACTGGGTGCAAACAATTTCTGAGGGCCATCGGACTGGGTAAAACCTGAATTAACCGTGGTGCACTTGCGGGAAACTCCTTGCCGAGGGCCTGTGCACCCCCGGGATTAGTCGGGGCTCAAAGAGACTCGGACACCCGGTGCAAATCAAAAAAAAATTATTTGAGAGGTTTCTCTTCTTTACACATTTGTGAGTGTTTACTTGGAATTTATCTTACAAACAATTCTTTAAGAGGTAAGATTAAGTTTTGACTTGTTTTATTTTTTTTAATATAACTATGGTGTCCGGACTTAGCTTGAGCGCACCTCGACTAATTTCACAAGATACCTGCCACTTCCCATAGTAAGAGGGACCACATAACTCTATCCACCAAGGTTAGGACAGACGAGAAGAAACCACCTAGTGCTTTTTGTCTCTGTTGGGATTTGAATCTGATACCTTATAGTTCTCACCACTTCATTGACCATTAGGCCACACCCTTGGGTACCTTAACTTGATATCTTCGGTTTCTATTTAAGTTAAAGGAGGTAATTAATCTTATACTAATTATTGTCTCTTATCCGCTAAAATTAGGATTAAACCCTCAAATACCCAAATGTTTATCGTTACCGACTTTAAACACGTAAAGGAGTTTGGCAAACAAAGTAGCGACAATAAAACTCAAGACCAAAGACCACTATAGTAAATGCTTCATAAGTAATTGCAACTTTCTATCTGTCATGATCAGCATATCCACAGGGTATGCCATTCAAAATATAGTTAATTTCTTGTACATTCATGGACATATTCTGTCACTTCCAATAAATAATCAGGTGCCATTTTGTTCTGCTGGATGGCATATTATTTGGCTACTTATGCTTTAGTACTTTATTTGTGCGTTCTATGTGATTGCACACTGTACTTCCAGTGGTACTTGATTCTAAATTCATCATACTCCCCGTTTGAATTTAGCATCTTTTGGACTCAATTCAAGTTGCACATAGTGTTCCATCTCTTTTTGACAACGGTGCCATGATTCTGCAGGCTTTTGTTCTGAAGCACCTATTGTTTTTCTCGGATGATTTAAATATGGTTTCACCTAGCTTGTCTGGCAATGTGGGTTTGAGAAGATTGGCTAATAAAGAATCTGCTGGAGCTGATATTTTTTCGTCCCTAAGTGAAGAGAAAAAATCAAGGTGGATACTTTGTGAATCTTGTTCCTGTGTGGGCAGATTTTGTTGTTTTTAAAAGTGGATTACTGAATTATGCCTTATTGAGACCCTTTTTCATATTTAACTGCTACAAGGCTCATGCAGACATGCACTAGAGATATGTATGTGTGTGTGTAATATCTCTAGTGCATGTCTACATGAGCCTGATAGCAGTTAAATATGATAAAGGGTCTCAATAAGGCATATATATATATATATACATTCTATACACATTATTTTTATATGTAAGTACTTTCTTTTATGAGTAAAAAAAAAGTAATCCCTGGACCCCTCCCTAAAAATGAAAAATTCTAATGGAGAAACTTTAGCACTAGGACCAACTGCTGACTGCAGTTAGTTTTCCTTTTATGGTCATCGGATTGTCAGTTGTCTGATTGAATCATCTCTTCTTGAGTTAACTGGTGTACTTTTATCAATGCTGCTGGGAAAATTTTGATATTTTGGGACAAATCCTGAAAAATCTTTTCTTCTTTTCCTTTTTTATTGATTCCGGACAGAGCATTGGTAAGAGGCATGTGCGAGATATTGTTTATGTGTGGAAGCAATAGAAGGGTTGTGATAGCATCTTTGAGAACACTTGATGCTATCCTTGAGGGGCCTCAGGGCCGTTCAGGTGATGAGGTAAGCTACTAGATGTGTTTGGTAGGATCTATTTTTTCATGTTGCTCCTTTCTGTGTTACTCCCTCCTATTTAATTTAATTAAACTGTTTCGGGAATCAAACAACTTTTATTTTAGGACAAAATTTACTTACTTCTAAACATATTTAGTAAGAAAATTGTGATGTATAATAAGTTTCATCTAATTTCTAAATTTGTAACTCTTATTTCATAAAAGTTGAGGAATCCATGTTGAGTCCCTACCAAAGAACAAGCTTTTTGACCCATGTACTCACAATTTTGTCCTTTTTGGTAGGGACTATATTCTGAATCTTTTTTACATGTCTTTCCTCTGTTCCTTTTTTTTTTTTCCCATTCAGATAAGAGATTTTTACTTGTACCTTATGGATGTAATGCTTAATCAAGAACATGTGCACGTGAAAGTGCTTGCAGTTTGTAAATCTCTTTTTATTGGTGAATGACTAATGCTTGATTCTAATAGTTACTGTTTCATACAGGTAATTTCTAAAGCACTTGAAGGTCTCTCAATTGAGTCCGGGGCTAACTTGCAAAGGGTTTTAGTCATTAACACGTATACTTCGTCAGAGGATGCTCTTCAAAGGCTTGAAGCATTGCTCCCAGTATTCCGAAGTCGTATGGGAGCAATGCTGTTCCTAATATCTGCTTTGCTTTCTCATGGAATGGTAAGTTCTTTTTATTTTTTCATTTGTCTGTGTGCATGTTCATGAGGAGGGTAGGTGGTTTGAGACATCTTTATACCTTTTCTCATATCTTCAACCACTATTTTAACATATATCTATCAAATTGAATATAATAAATCATTAACTTATTCAAACTACTATTATATATCTAATAAATTCAATTATAATAACTCATTCAAACCTTTTCTCTTAAAGCCTTGAAAGTCAAATGTACTTCATAGCAAATGGGACAGAGGGAGCTTATATCCAAGGCGCCAATGTATAATGCTCTCTTTTTTGTTGAACCAGTGGAAGTGGGAACTGGACTTACTAAGAACTGGCAAGTGATAGAAGCTAATAGCTTAGTAAATTATCTTTAGGCGGATGATATTTTTTCTCCTTATGAAATTTGACTTTAATCTTCTCCAAGGATTCAAATTCTGAGGTCAGGTTAGCTTAGAATGGTAAGTTGGTATTGTTGGCTCATGTAATACCTGACCATGTCTGGGATTTGCCCCATGTACCACGTAAGACCATTAAATTCTCAATTAAGTCATCCAAAAGTTATTTATCATGCCTAAAGTCCTAAACTGGAAGGCAAAGTAACCTTTACACATCTTTAATTAATAGATATCTGCCATCAACAACAACAACAACAACATACCCAGTGAAATCCCACTAGGTGGGGTCTGGGGAGGGTAAAGTGTACGCAGACCTTACCACTACCTCGTGGAGGTAGAGAGGCTGTTTCCGGAAGACCCTCAGCTCAAGTGTAACAAAGCCAAGTAAAGGAAGAGAATTATATAAAGCATAACATCCAATAAGAAAAATAGTGCATAATCAACAAAGGGGGCAATACATCAAGAAAATAATGTGAGAAGTGAAACGCAGTAAACAACATAAGGCTATAGGGATCACATACAAGAACTACAAGTGTAAGGCTAAGACTACTACAAACGCTAACAACCCATACCCTCGCCAGGAAAGACAGCACGCTAACCCTACTAGCAAATTCTCAATTAAGTCATCCAAAAGTTATTTATCATGCCTAAAGTCCTAAACTGGAAGGCAAAGTAACCTTTACACATCTTTAATTAATAGATATCTGCCATCAACAACAACAACAACAACATACCCAGTGAAATCCCACTAGGTGGGGTCTGGGGAGGGTAAAGTGTACGCAGACCTTACCACTACCTCGTGGAGGTAGAGAGGCTGTTTCCGGAAGACCCTCAGCTCAAGTGTAACAAAGCCAAGTAAAGGAAGAGAATTATATAAAGCATAACATCCAATAAGAAAAATAGTGCATAATCAACAAAGGGGGCAATACATCAAGAAAATAATGTGAGAAGTGAAACGCAGTAAACAACATAAGGCTATAGGGATCACATACAAGAACTACAAGTGTAAGGCTAAGACTACTACAAACGCTAACAACCCAGATATCTGCCATCAATTTCCACAATTATTAAGCATGTAAATTATGGTGAGTTGGAGATGATTCTAAACTATAAACTTATCCCACTCTAACAGAAAAACTGCCATGAAATCACATCTTTAAGCCGGAAGATTAAATTCTTGGGCTTATCAAAATGCCTCATAGTGTAAAATTATCTCGTACTTGTCAAAAAATGAGAATACCTTGGTAGTATGATGAACTAAAAAATTAGTTACTGTATATTGCTTTGAGTTGGTTGCTACTTATTGAAAAATGAGTTGGTTTCTGTCTCATGGCTATTTGTTTTGCTGCTTTCATCTTTCCGTTACCTCCCCCAATCCAAAAACTTAGTTCAGTTTTGTGTTTCTTGAGTCTGAGAAATAAAATTTTCAGTCAGACTGAATGTATTAGATTCGGTGGTACTAATCCCAACATAATGTATAGCGGTCGAGATTTGCATCAAAAGAATACATTGGCACTGTTACTTAAGTACGGTGGGAGGCATGGTCAAAGAGCTCTCATTGTTGATCAGCTCTATGCTGTCTGTTGGCAATCTAACAACAAGAACTATTCCTCAATAGAAGCTAGTTGGGTTCGGCCACTGTCTATGACTAATAAAAATCACTATTTTCCCAGTAAAATTTCTCACTAAAATTTCTCACTGAAAAATGTTCCGTGACTTCCCACATATATTTTGATTGAACCAGTGAGAAGAAAAAATAGTAGTGTTTTCACACGGATAGTTAGGAAGCTTCCCAATGTTTAAATGAGAATCTGTTTTCTACCATGCGTTTTCCCAGTGAGCTGGTTCGGTGAGAAATTGGCGGGACAATCATGTTTTATAATGCAAATTTCCCATTGATTCGCGGTGGGGAAAACCTCTTCTTCTAATGTCACTCCATTTAGACCCGCTTTAGTCCTTATGTGCAAAAAATTAGGTCCTCTGCACTAGAAGTGTCCTTCATTATCGGCATACAAATCTCTAACAAGACTTAAAGACTCCTAGCGGACACTGGACCTAAAGAAGCATACCCAACTAATTGGTCTCGCTTATATGGATCTTTATCCATTGTGCCATATTTCCTCAGAGTTTGCATGGACTCCCAAGAGGTTGTAGGTCTTTCAAAACAACTTTCTTCTGCATAATTGTATTGAAAATCCCTTCGCATGATTAACTTGTTAGTCGTTTGGCCATGAAAATTATTTACTTTTTTTGGAATAAATTCTCTTTATTTTAACATTAGTGTTTGGTTATTAAATTTTCAATCCAACTTGGAGTTAATTTCAAATTTGGATAAGTGCTCCAAACCTGTTTTGCAACTCCATCTTCAAAAAGGAAAAATAACTCCATCTTCGTAAATTCCAAATAAAGTGCACTCTTCTCTCCTAAAAATTTGACCAAACACAACTCCAACTTCATAAATTCCAAATAAAATGGAAAAATTGGAATCTATGGCCAAATGCCTACTCTTTTTTTTTTTTGATGCTGGTAACAGAGTACTTGGGTAGTACTGAAACCATATTTACACGAGAGCTCTAAAATTCTACTGTTTTCTATCTATAATACTCTATAAAACATCAATAATAGAAACAGTATCATTTGAGTAAATCTCTGATTACACCAAAAACGCAGAAGCAAGATGAAGTTCAACTCGATTTTCTGCACACCATTCTCTATATTCTTGAAACATCTGGAATTTCTCTCCTTCCAAATTGTCCACCAAATGCAGGTAGAGACAATACTTCTACTCTTGTCCTTTGCTTGTAAGCCTCTTATCCTCCTAACTTTTTAGGAGCTTCGGTCCAGGATATGCCTTTTAAGGTTTAAGATAATTCTCCACAGATGTGTTGTGAACTTACAATGTTGGAAGAGATGGTTCACTCTCTCTGCTGTTTCTTTATACAAAAAACAACTCGAACACAATGGAAGCCCTCCTCATCAGATTGCCTAGTGTAAGCTTACGGGCTGCTTCTTTAGCTAGTACCGCATAAAACAGGCTACTTGCTGAGGGATTTTAGTTTTCCAGATGTGTTTCCATGTCTAGTTGTCTATCTGCTGGTTGGAATGATTCGTCATTCTGTAAGTTGCATTGACCTTGAATAAACCCCTGTTGTTGCCTTGCCACCACAATACATCTTCACCTGTCTATAGCCCAGTACATTGCTTAAGGCTACTATATGAATCAGCCACTCTTTGTAATTCCCAGTCATTGATTTGTCTTTTGAAAATGATGCTCCATCGTCCATCATTGTGGTGCCCACATTTTTGCTGAAGTCCTTCGTTGATGAAGGACTGAATTGAAGATATCTGAAAAGACAATTTCCAAATTGCCCACCTCATGTCGATTGTCCTTCCAAAAGCTAGTTTTCTTCCCATCTAAAACTTTGATCTTGGAATTGGCTTTCAACGCA